AGATGCTTACCAAATGATGACATTTTAACCTTCATAACAAAACAAAATAATGTCATTAATCCTCATCAAGGTAGCTACTTCCATGATTATTTCTACAGCTATGATTTATCACAGTGACTATTTTAAACACAATTTTTATTGAGGAGAAACAGTTTTTTTTCCACACTTTAAATGGTTACCATTCCATTTTTTCAGAACCAGGTGGCTCCAGTGAGTCATTTTAAGACAGAGATCATCAGGTCACTGTCCTTGTACTATTACACATTTGTGGACATACTGGACTTCAGGGTGAGTTATAATGTTAGATAAAGGTTTGTTACCTAATTTACCTTTATGCCTGTGAGTGTGAAAATGAATATAATCAATATTTAAAAATTTTTACCTTTTCTCTTGTAACAATTGAAGCATTTTATAGTCCTGTGGAATTTGTTACATTTGTTTATAAGATGGATGACCTATATGTTTTAGTAATGCTGAAAAAATTCAATCTGGCATTTACTGTAATTTTTAGGATCATGTGTCTGAGGTTCTTACTACGATGGATGCACACCAAGTGCGCTTGGATATTGTAAGTATCTTATCATTTAGAAATATTTGGAATGTGTACTTGTTAGAAAAGAGAACAAACTATAAGATGCCACTTCCTGGTTAGTGTGATCTGCCCTGAATTTTCATTATATATTCCTATCAAACATAGATAAGATAACATTTCCAATGAGAGCTAAGTGGGGCAGCTTGTGTAAACCTTGATAAAGAAATGAACTCCAAGTAGAAAAACTATTTGCCATCTAAATATTGTATTGCTTTGAGAAAAATAACATTACGATTTATGTGCATAAAATGTAAATGTCTGTGAGACATAACAACTTGCAATTAAACAATTGCAATTAGGCATATTTACAAGAAGCTTAAATTTTGTTTTATAATAAAATTGCCATTTTTAACATTTTTGCTGATATATGAAAGAAGATTAGAGTCAATTTGTTAGTGTGGAATTTTACTATATATCCCCTCTTCTATTTCATCTTGATTGCTATTTTCTAGGGAGCAAACTTTGACCTGACCAAGAACTATCTGGATCTGATTGTAACATTTGTAGCTATCATGATATTGGTGTCCAGAGTGGAAGACAGAAAGGCAATATTGGGTCTCTTTTATGTTGCTCATGAAATGCATCAGAATGGTCAAGGGTAAGTCATAGACATCAGAGACAAGGATACAATTAGTTGATAACTAAGTATCACTTTCAAACCTAATCTTTCATCATTTGGTTGAAATAAATACAATAAACACTTGATTTGTTGTGGATTGTAAACCTAATTGAATAAATTCTAAATATTATTTTTCAGGGACCCTTCTTTTCCCAGACTTGGTCAGATGATTCTGGACTATGACCCACCATTGAAAAAGCTGAGTGAAGAGTTTGTACCACATGCAAAAGTTAGTGCTGTTACAATATTATTAATGTATTATTAACATTTGGGTATATTTAGATATTGATATGTAAATTATATAAATATACATGTTTTTGTAGTATTTTGTAAAATATTACTGGTGTAATGTGTAATAATTATTTTTTAATTAACCTTGTAACTTTTCTAAAAACTTTTAAATGAATTATCAGGAAGTGGTAAAATCATTCACATGCATTAAAAAGTGCTGATTTTATTTCCTCACACTAGATGGTGACACTTGCCCTACTGTCATTAAACGACATATACCACAGGAGGAGCATGCAGGCTCACCAGTGGAGATCTGCTCAAATGCTCAGCCTCATAGCTGAACCTGCTAAGATCATGAACACAGCACAGGAAGATATGGTGAGGAAAGATGATGACATGAAACAGATTAGTGTGATGCATTGATATTATTAGTTATACATTTCTTTATACAAATGGGTTTTATAACTTTGGGTAAATTATGAATTAATAAAATTAGGTTTTTGTAAATTATGTATAATAATAATAATAATAATTAGGACAAATTGTATATGAAATTTAAAATAAGTTTTGAACTGCATGTTCTCACCTTTCACAACCTTTGTTTGTATTGACTTATTGCAAGTTATTTTGGATTCTTAAGTGGTACTTTGCAAGTGTTTTAAAATCTGACCGAAAAAATTTTATCTGAAAAACCATTGTTCATATTTTAGATGCCTTGTGAATATGTATCATTAGATGTGATGGAGAGATGGATTCAGCGTAAGTATTTCAATGAAAGATCAAATCATTTTGTAATACGTAGAAAGTTCTGTGCAGGTAGTGAAATATTATGTCAGTAGAGTACATTTAAAAGAAATTAGTCCATGCCATGTCTGATTCACCATCAGACTGAGTGTTTTCTGTGAGATTGAGTCAAATACATTATCATTTTAACATCAGAAGATGACAAAACTGTATTTGTGCATTTTTCCAGTTGGTTTCCTACTGTGTCACCAGCAGTTAGCTCACCAGGATGCGCTGGAGTTGTGGAAACAGTCTCTGCATGGTAGTTATGTTGTCACACTGTTCAGGGACGAGGTGCTACATATCCACAGTTATGCACAGAATTACTTTGAAAACATAAAAGGGTGAGTTTTGTCTTTTAACTGTCATTTGGATCTTTTATCAATGATGACTAACCATTAAGTAGATATTATATAAACTCTCTGTACAAGCTAAAAGAATTGATTAGCTAGGGCCTGAAAAGAGATAAGAAATTAGACACTACAGTGGACATCATTGTTAAGCAGGAAACTGTAAAATGTCAAAATGTATTGTCACTTTATTATAAGCAAATCAAAGTGTGTAATCCTTTGAAATATTTTCTGGCAGTAACCTGAAAATTTAGATTTCTTTACATGTTATTTACAATATGTGTTTATTATCTTAACAGTTTCACAGGTAGATCTTGATGTTATTTGATGCAAAAGTTATCTTTCCCTTTTAGATATGGTAAAAGAGTAACTGAAGTCAAGGATTGGTACAACCAGTGTTTACACCAGGCGTGAGTATCAGAAGTTTAGAGATTCTTAATAAGATTATTATTTTATTTTGTTAGATTTTAGTACCATGCATTTTGAAACATGTCAATTTGATACACTTTACTGTGTAAGATGTTGACTTTAATTTAACTGAATTTAATCCATATTTGTTAAACTTTTGTTATGTTTATATACAGATCTGTCTTTCACAATTTTTAGATTAATTTTAAATTTTTAGATTAATTTTAAAAGTTTAATTTAGTTGAATGTGGCTCATGTTTACTGTCAAATGCATGTCACAATTTGCTTAAGTTTGGATAGATTATGGTTGTATCATTTTAAAAATTGATTTTTCTATTTAAAGATTTTGTAAAGCATTATACTTTCACATTTACTTCACAGTCCAGCAATTCACAAAGACAAGAGGAAATTCCTGAGGTCTGCTCTGAAAGAACTGGCCCTTGTCTTCACAGATCAGCCTGGACTGCTGGGACCAAAGGTAAGACAGAGACATGAATAATGCACTGATAATGTTCAGGCACTCAACGGATATTAATCTTTGGTATGATTGTAAATTTTGCCAAAGGTATATTTTATTAAGTTTGAAAGAAGAGCTTGTAAAAGATGTCATCATTTGTCATTGAAAACTTTGTCATTTACATTTAAGTATTTAGCATTACAGTATTCAACAGAACAGAGATGTGCATTTTTTTCATCCTCTGTGGTATTTATTAATTTATTTTGATGCCATTTAAATGTCTTTGCTATATATTTCTATGCCTATGCAATTTCAGGCCCTGTATGTATTTCAAGCACTTTCCTTTGCACGTGATGAGATCCTCTGGCTCCTGCGCCATGTGGACAATCCACCCCCCAAGAAGGGTGGGGTCAAGGTGGCACTGGAGGACTTTGTAGACAGGTGCAGAAATTTTATATTCTTCCTTGAAATTTATTTACATGCTTGCTTATGGAATGACAAATAATTTTTCCTTTTCCAATGAAATGGATATTGATAAATTAAGTTAAAAAAATTGCTTTTAGAATAACCACATTTAAGTCATCAGTATATGTGTAATCTGGCTGCAAATTTATGTTGATAATAAAATTATCAAAATAATTTTCAGACAAATACCAGAATTATTATTCCACATGGAAGAGTTGAGAGGTGGGTACATTTTAACCCTAGAAATGATCATCTTATAATTTATTACAAATGGCACACATTTGCCCTCCCAGTTATACTGTAAACAAGTTTGTCTTGGTTCTCATTCAGTTTGGTCAGGTAGTCCATGCCATCTTTATATATGACTTATACGTACCTATAGTTTTATTGTCCTACTCTGTCACCCCAGCTTTGGTGAAGAAGTACAGTCAGGTGATGCAGAGGTACTATGTGCAGTTCCTGTCGGGATATGATGCTGTTGTCCTTAATGGCCTCATACAGGTATGTCTTCCTTTCTGAACCCACAAAAATGAGTGTGTTAATACAGAATGTTAATTTTTGACAATAAACTTTCATGATAACAAGATCTATAAAGAATGGTAGAAATTCTTTTAGCTGGAACATAAATTGATACTTTGCCAGCCAATATTTCGTCTGATAACAATCGGACTTCATCAGGGGGTAATGTACGTTCATAAATACTGTAGATAGGTATGAATATTAGATTATGATATTTGTATTTAAATTGCAGACCTTGTCAGTTTGTCCAGAAGATGAGTCCATGATTTTGTCTTCATTTTACAATACTATGACCAGCATATCTGTAAAACAAGGTGAGTTGGAAGTTTGAAATATTCTTTATTCCAACATTCATAGCTTGATGTAGAGGTTACTCCATAAAAAGTTCTCTTAGGCGTTTGTTAAACTTTGAGCCATATTGATTGCAAGACTTCAGCACAGGGTAATCTGTTTTATTCTGTTTTAGTGGAAGAAAATGAACTGTTTGACTTCAGGGGACTGAGACTTGACTGGTTTAGATTACAGGTACGTTTTCTTATATAACAGTTCATACATTAGGAAAATAATATCAGAAATACTTCTGAATAAAAAGTTTTCATAGTCATTTTTGTGCACAATTCTCATTTCACTCTTAAATATTTCCACAATAGAGGCCATTCATTATAGTATTGGCATTTCTGTTAGCTGTTTTATGTCAGTTTGTTTTAAGTAACAGCAGGTAAATATGTTTTATTAATTTTCTCCTGTAGGCCTACACTAGTATTGGGAAGGCAGGCTTCAACCTTTTAGAACACAGGAATCTGGCCAGACATATGAATACTGTCATCTTCCATTCCAAGATGGTAGACTACTTAGATGAGATGCTGATAGAAACATCTGATCTATCCACTTATTGGTGAGTGTGATCTCACTGGTGCCACTTTTAAGTTTTGTGGGTTTACATGTGAAAATTATTGATGTAGTCAAATCACTTAATTGGTTTTTCTGTCAATTGAAGCATATTGTAGGGATTTTACACGCTAGTCTAAGCCTAGAATTGTGTAAAATAGTCTCTTTAAAGCTGTAAATTCATTTTAAATTATGAATACATGCCAATAAGATTAAACTGCTTTCTAACCGTTAATAAAACATACCTGTCATATTTTCCATGGTCAGTTTTCATACCACCATATTTGAGCTCCAGTTCAAGCAATGTATGGAGCTGCCAGCCCAGCACAGGTTCAGCATTGCCTTCCCCCTGGTCTGTGCTCACTTCATGAATGCTACACACGAACTTTGTCCAGAAGAGGTGAGTAAAATCAGATTTAGTGAGTCACTGGGTTTTGTATGTTTAATATATATATATATATTTGAAAAATGTTAATGTTAGCTACACTGCATTTGTCTTTTATGAGGAAGTAAAGATATTGAAATTTTTATTTCATAAGCTCAATATTAGTATGATGTTTAATTGGATCATCCAATACATAAAGAGAAATTATGCTCTTTTAGCACTATACTGAATACTGAATACCAGA